GGTGAAGCTATTTTTTGATTCCCCCCCCGTAGAGGAAGGCAGTGACCCCGTCCCCATCCCGAGCGAGCGGTCTAGGCCGGACATGCATCCCCCCCGCCCTCGATCTCACTCCCCAGCATCTTACTCACATATCACTGCTCGACGAAGGCTTCGGATTCCCCTGTGCCGGCAGCGTGGCCTCCATGATTTCATTGAACCGGACATTTCCAATGCTGACCGCCAGCTGCAAATGAGAGGGGGAAACCAACCCCATAAGCACAGGTGCCTCTGTGTCTAGGAGCCCCCATGGCTTGATTTGCCTGGACTTAGTAGCTGCTTGCTTCTCACCCCAGAGAGAGGAGAAATGCCGAGAGAAAGGAGCTAACAAAAATACAGCGGATCCTTCCCTAGAGACGGGAAGAGGCCATGCCACGTTTCAAGGCTAGATTCAGGATTAAAGAGAATTTGTGAGTGGACCTTGCAAGATCCCTGCCAACTAGAACAATCGGAACCTTTAAAACCTTGACTCAGGCTACGTCTAGACTGCAAGCCTCTTTCGAAAGATACTTTCAAAAAAGCCTCTTTCGAAAAAGAGCATCTTCCAGTGCTTTTTTTTGTGACATACAGTCAGAGATTACCTCGAAAGAACGGAGCGTACCAGCACCTCTGTACGTAAATGTCCGACAGTTGGATGGGCTGCATGTCTTAAAAGGGCCGCATCTCTTAAAAGGGAAATGCTGGCCCTACCCCAGCTTTTTTTTTTTTTTTTCACTGTCACGTTCTTTCAATTTACTTTCAAAAAAACACGGCAGCAATCTAGAAAAAGCACTGAATATATCTATACTAGCCAATTAGCCCGTCATAAAATGGGATTTTCAGGTCTCTCCTCCATGTCCTATTCCCTTTCTATCTCGGTCTTCTCTCCTGAGCCTCCAGGTCTCTCTCTCCATCTCTCTCTCCCTCCCCCCCCTTTCTCCCTCTCCTCTTCCTACTGCCTTCCCCCCCCCAGCTTTCCTCCGTCTCCTGCTTCTCTCTCCATCTGGGGAGGGATGGGGCTGTGCCATGTAGCAGCCCCAGGCCTCAGCTAGGATTGGGTGGGACTTGGCTGAGTGGGGGAGGTTGGGAAGGGTCATGGTAGTGGGGGAAGAGGTGTGGCTTTGGGGGGATTATCTCTTTTCCTCCTCCTCCTGCCTCTCACTCTCTTTCTCTTCTCCTCCTCCTCCTCCTGCATGGGGAGCATGGAGCCCAAATGGCTGTGTGCTCCCATGCAGCAGCCCAGCTGAGCGGCTGCCTGTGAGCTCCAGCTGCCCCCTGCACCATTTCCCTTCACCCCAGCACTGATCCCGCAGCCTCCCAGTTGTCCTCCACCTCCTGCTCTCTCCCTGCCCTCCCTCCGGCCAGGGTCTGTTCACGGCCAGGGGGTGGGGCCTGATGGCGCACGTAAAATGAATGCTGCACATGGATGGAAAAAACTAGAGGGAATGTTGGTCACAGCTGGTATCGGGCATGATACGGATCGTAGAGCTTAGCCAGCATGGAGACATGGCCATCTTGGGACAAGCCCTGGCAACCTTTTCTGGTTTGTATTACTAGGAGCCCAGCAATGAATTAGGGCCCCCTCGTACCAGGCGCAGAACAAACACGGTCACTGCTGGTTTCTGCCCCGGACAGCTTATAACCCACATAAGACACAAGAGCCACCAGCTGGACTCGGGCATGCAAGCAATGCTCACCTGGCTGTCAGGGCTAGCCAGGGGTTTTGCTAAGTCGTGCCCCTCTGCAAAGGCTTGTAGCAAGGCTAAGAGATCCCGGCTGCGAATGGCTTCCCAGAGCCGGTGCGACTCGTCCCGGCCATCTTTCTGGACGTATTTGCGCTCCATGTATTTGGCCACAATATATTCTTTCCTGGCGCTCCTGCGGGTGGGAGGGAGGGAGCTGGATCAGCAGGGCCACGCCCAGCCAGCTTTGTTGTGGATTCCAGAGCCGAGCCTGGTCAGGCATGGGGGATTTTAGACAGGGGCTGACGAGGTTTGGATTCGAGCAAGGAAGGGACAAAGCAAGAGCCGTTCACTAGTCCATCCAGCTCCGGAAAAGGGATTAGACAATAGGGAGGCTTCAGGGGAATCTATTTGTGGATTGCCCCCCCCCAGCAGAGGAAGCTGGAAGGGACAAAGCAAGAGCCGTTCACTAGTCCATCCAGCTCCGGAAAAGGGATTAGACAATAGGGAGGCTTCAGGGGAATCTATTTGTGGATTGCCCCCCCGTAGAGGAAGGCAGTGAACCCCTCCCCATCCCGAGCGAGCTGATTTCATTGAACCGGACATTTCCAATGCTGACCGCCAGCTGCAAATGAGAGGGGGAAACCAACCCCATAAGCACAGGTGCCTCTGTGTCTAGGAGCCCCCATGGCTTGATTTGCCTGGACTTAGTAGCTGCTTGCTTCTCACCCCAGAGAGAGGAGAAATGCCGAGAGAAAGGAGCTAACAAAAATACAGCGGATCCTTCCCTAGAGACGGGAAGAGGCCATGCCACGTTTCAAGGCTAGATTCAGGATTAAAGAGAATTTGTGAGTGGACCTTGCAAGATCCCTGCCAACTAGAACAATCGGAACCTTTAAAACCTTGACTCAGGCTACGTCTAGACTGCAAGCCTCTTTCGAAAGATACTTTCAAAAAAGCCTCTTTCGAAAAAGAGCATCTGGACTACCACCAGTACTTTCAAAAAAGCAAGCCGCTTTTTCGAAAGAGCGCGCCCAGGCAGTCTGGATGGTCTTGTTCGAAAAAGCACCGTTTGCATGACATAGCGCCTTTTTTTGAAAAAGCACTTTTGAAAAAAGGCATTCTTCCTCGTAAAACGAGGTTTTCTGCAGTCGAAAACACTGTCACGTTCTTTCAATTTACTTTCAAAAAAACACGGCAGCAATCTAGATGCAGGGGAAGTTTTTTCGAAAAAAGGTCACTTATTTCGGAAAAAAACCTGTAGTCTAGATACACCCTTAGCGTCAGAAAACAGCCCGCAGGGGCGGCAGGTAATGTAGGAAAGGGAAGGCACTGCCTTACCAAGACTGCCTACATAGCTTGGCTCCCCA